TACCACACGGGATCGCCTGTCTACCATATGCCGACAGCGATTTATATCTAATTTCGCATACACTGCGCAGAGGCCACGAAAACTTCGAGAAACTGAACGTGGTTGGTAACATAGAAGAAGATACAGTGTTATAAGAGAGGCGATGAAAAGAAACCGGTGGAAACAGACTGTCCGCTCCAGTTTGCTTGCTGACCATAACGCTCCTCACACATGCCGTCACCGTTCCGTCGCCGCGCCGACGCCACACATTCTCTGTAGATACAGGCGCGAAGCCCGCACGGCCACGCGCCTTTTCCTCATGTATGTTTGATTCATTCCATTACTGCCCGTACGAACGTCACCCGCGAGACACACGTGACGCAAACATGTCAATATAATGAAAAAAAGAGTTTGTGCTTGCTTACTATATGTATAGAAAATGGAAAAAAGAACGACGATTAAAAAGTTGTGGGTTCATCCTATGCTTCGGCTCGGGACTGGTGAATTCATAACTTATGAAGATCTCCGAAAAACAGGCCAAGTTTTGTGATTATTTTCGAATGAATTACAAACAGAGATTTATTAAATAACAAACTGCAACACACAAATACAAATATGCGAGCAAGATATCTCTAAGGAGAGATTGGTTGTTACATTGAGGTAAAGTAATATATTTTTTTAATTATCCTGATGTAATGTAGAAAAATCAAAATCAATCAAGCTTGAAGTAGATGGACTTGTGTGCTTTGTAATGAATCATTTTCAATGCTATAATTCGAAGCCTGTGATTGAACTCTCGTACTGTTATGTGGAGCGCTATAACTATTTCTACTCGTATATTGAATATTTCTTATAATATTCAATACTTGATACTGGAATTCAACAATGTCTTCGTCTTTGAAGCGTTCCACGCTAGGAGCTATACCTTTAAAAAAAGACATCATTCTACTATCGTCATCTTTTTCTAACGATTCCATAAACTTAATCATTTTCTTATCTACAGGGTTTATTTCTTCGTTTTTCTTTCTTTTGGTGACATTAGACTCTTCAGATTTTTTTTCTTCCGGCATGTTTGATCCAGATTGGGGTGGCCGTGGGGTAATTTTTTTCAAAAATTGTAAATTATTATTTGATATTTATGTACTGGTTTTGCACCTGATCCAGATTTTGATTCACGTATCTGTCGCATTTCATCCATGCATCTCTTATATTCTTCCATTTCTGAGATATTATTTTACCTGAAAAAATTAATATTCATTTTATTTTTATAATGTTTTGCAACAGGTTAGCAACCGGAACTTCATTAGCCGATCTTGAATATCGTTTTAGAATGGGAAAATCAACTTTAAGCGTAATCATACGAGAAGTATGTTCTCTAATATGGACTGAACTTTACCCAAATTATATGAAAATGCCATGTATGAACGATTGGCTAGAAATAGCAAATAAATTCGAAGTATCTGCTAATTTCCCTCATTGTGTCGGTGCTGTAGATGGAAAGCACATCAGAGTAATTAAACCAAATAAAAGTGGATCGATGTTTTTGAACTATAAACATTATTTCTCGATTGTATTGATGGCAGTCGCCGATAGTGGCTACAACTTTTTTTAACGTCGGTGCTTATGGAAAGGATTGTGATTCAGGTGTATTTAAAGATACAGCTTTCTGGCACAACATGATTAACAATACTTTGAACTTGCCAGGACCTGCTTCCTTACCTAATACCAACATTGCTTTGCCATATGTATTCGTAGGCGATGAAGCATTTGCACTACATCAGAATTTTCTGCGCCCATATAATAGTCAACAGCTTGATGCAGAAAAATCCGTTTTTAATTATCGGTTAACAAGAGCGAGACGATATGTAGAATGTACCTTTGGGATACTGGCCAATAAATGGCGAATTTTTCATCGACCTTTAAACGTGTCATTGGATTTGGCTGTTGATGTTGTGAAAGCTTGTTGTTTACTGCAAAATTTTATACACAAAGAGGAGGGTGTAAAAGGGGTGCAAGAATCTCTAACTCACACCGAGTTAGAGGAGTTTTTGCCATTTGATTCTACAGAAATAGTTCCTACAACAGCTAATGATATACGTGACAAATATAAGGAGTATTTTAATTCTGAATATGGCAGTGTACCATGGCAAAATAATTATTGTTAATATGAAACGTGTTTCTATCTAGCGGGAATACTCAAGCTCCTACTAGTAGCAAGTGATTGCTTGTTTAATGTACATAGGTATCTACCACACGAAATACCCGGTCCACACACTATATAATATATAGAGGTACCCTCTGTTGCATTAGTAAATAAAAATCACACTGATCGTGTCTTGTCCCAAAGTTACTTTAAGTCAGCTACTTATATATTTTTTCGATTGGCCCCACTAGACAGAAACACACTAAAAAGCATTAATAAAATTTTGTAAAAAGATACTTACCGTATTATTTTTCTCTATGAGGTAGTTCTGCAAAGTTCTCATTTTGAGATCCAAATTTTAAACTTTGCTTGTCTTTTATATTTCCAAAGTTTTGTCCCATAACACTTCTCTTCCTCCACTAAAGTTTAAACGTTTCGTAATCAAAACTTTCCATGGTAATTTCTTAAAAAGTTACGCACGTGCACGTTCGTTCGCGGCCGGTAATGGAGTGAATCCAACAGGAACGCGCGGAGGGAGGGGGTGGCGGCGGCGCGCCGGCTTACGGACCGTCTACAGAGTAAAGTGCGGCAGCCCCGTACGGCTCGCAGGAACGCTAACGCTCAGACATGAGCTACCCACGAAGAGAAAATAGAGAAAGGCGATCATTTACCAATTAAAAGTAATTACTTTTCGCAAAAACTTGCCTGGATTCAACCTGGATTATGTGCTACTAAAGAAAAAAACATTTTTGATTTATTTTTAATTGCACAAGAATACTATAAAACATGGACTTTCGTCTTTCATGATATAAATTTATAATAAATTTTTGATAAATTGTCTGGTCCCTTTTACTAACGTAAACAATAACTCTAACCTATTTTATATAAAAATTGTACTATCGCTCACCTTTAGTGGCAGGTTCTTCGCTAAACTCAGCGGGTAATAAATGCGTCCAGGACTGAGGGTTCGTGAAGAGCAAAGCAAGGTCGTAAGCCTTGTCGTCTGCAGTCTTGTACCGGACTATGGCCGTTTCTTTGACACCTTGACAATATAGGGAGACTTTACTCGATGCATGCTGAAAATTTTCAACCAAATATAACATGAACGTTCTTCGTCCAAATATTTTTTAGTTTTCCTTGCTTGGTGCCTCACCATTGCTTGTGTGATATTAATATATGTTTTCATATATTTAACAGAATAATATGTTATGTTTGTATTATTATTAATACTTGTACTAGCTAAGTAAAAAATAAAAAAAAATCTTTGTGTCTAACACTCGAAATTTAAAATAGCTTTTTTCTATAATTACAGATAAATAATAGAAGTTAAATAAATGCTGATCAAACCTTACCGAGATCTTCGTAATTTTTTTAATTTGTAAAATTATTATTTTCTGCTCAAATTTCATACATTTTGGGAGCTTTTTGCCAGCTTTAAAGGATTCAAATCTTTGAATTTATTGTCGTGTTGTAATTTTACAGTACTTAACTGTTTTTTTAAACTATGGTTTTATTGTATTGTCTGATACCATTAATTATAGTAGGTATAGTATTATTAATATGATTTGATAAAGAATATACGCACATGTTTAACGACGTGTGCGCAGGTGATGACGTATCCCCTTCCCAAGTATACGCCCGCGCCCCATGCATTGCCACAACGAACTAATATCGTCACTCGATCTATTTGTTCTGAAATATTTTTCTCGTTACAACATATTTAACTATATTAACATTAACGGCCAGTTCAAATAAAAGTCGCAGAACGGACGAGAAAAACTAGCATTAAACTCTCCATCACTCATTGATGTCACACATGTCATAGAATTAATTAATCGTTACTAAATAGATAGGTTTTGGCATAAGTTTCCATCCTAAAACATCGAACATCTTACTATCGATGTCGATATTAATTTCCATACATACGCTAATCAAAAGTATTAAAACCCTGCTAGTATCTACCTGCTAGTATTCCTTGCTACAGATTATGGCGTAACTGTGTTAGAATCTAATATATAAAATTCTCGTGTCGCGATGTTTGTGCTTAAACTCCTCTGAAACGGCTTGACCGATTCTCATGATATTTTGTGTGCATATTGGGTATGTCTGAGAATCGGACAACATCTATTTGTCATCCCCCTAAATGTTAAGGGCATATATACATGGCAAAACGACGTTTGCCAGGACAGCTAGTTAGAATATAAATTATATATTAATTGTATTTTTATGCATTTGTCCAATAACAATACAGCGCATATACCTACATAAAAACAAATACTCATCATAAACACACAGTATTTTATTTGAAGGTCTCTTATAACATAATATTTTTATATTAGGGAGGGATCTCCCTAGTGGACAAGCGTCTGTATGATAAGCTACCACATATTTTTTTCATTTTCATATAAATTAATATAAATATTTCAACATCTTACCAAGTATTTGACTATGAAGAGGAGATATGGGTGCCCGCGGTACACTGTCTGGAGGAACTCTGAGTTTGGCCGCAAGAATTGAGCGCAAAGGAGCCGCCAGGGTCAGTCCAACCCATTCACCTCTCCACCACGACACACTGCATACTACAGCTCCCACTAACTCTTTACTGAAAATAGAGATAGCAAGAATCTATCTAGGCATTTGGTTTTGGGCTTTATATCCTTGATAAAAAAATTTATAGGCAAGTTGGCCAGTATCACCGTCGATTTTTATTTATTTATTACAGAAATACATACATTATTCTTAGAGACTATGCCAATACGATAATGTGGAGAAAAAAATATAATAAAGTATATAGTATTAAACACATAATATACTTGTGTCGCTACTGTGAATTCACTCTGCGAACATATAAAAATGTCGATAGTGTCGGAGACAGAATTAAGTTTAGGTCTTAGACATGCCATTTCCTCGCAATGTTCTCCTCTCTCTCTCTCCCTCACAATCTTCCACATGAAAGAAAAGTATATTCGTCTATTGGTGAGATCTAGACTTAAGCCACAAGGCCAACTCTGTTCAGAACCTACGTGTTCTGAGCAAGAAATGGCAAATCTCACTAATTAACCGTCGTAGTAGAATCATCCAGAGAACGTTACAAATCGTAGTAAATATTTTATTTGTATACAAAGTCAAATTTTTCAATCAATACACAAATAGGGTATTACTTACGTCGGACCTTCGGTATACACAGGTCCACCTTCCGAGCCAAGTGCTGTAGCAGCATCAGTCAAAAGCAGGGAGGGCCTTTTCCCCACCACTCCACATACAGACCCTCGCGTCACTGCATTCAGGAAAACCTGGAAAGTCAAAGGATATATATAGTTATCTTGTAGATAGAACTTGTTTATAAAAGTAAATTCGTACATAGATAATGGTCGAAGTTTTCCTGGAGTTTCCAAAAAACAGAAGTCGCATTAATTATGAATTGCGTAATAAAGTACGCTATTTTTAAAACATCTGAAAACATTAACACAGTGAAAATCTGGTGCATTACTCCGAATACAAGGTGTAGTGACTATGTTATATACAATTAAAGGCAACTTCATGTTATATGTTAGCTTTTATTTATTATTATGACATTTGAATATATCCAGAAGCATAGCATAATGGTAGCAGGTCCTTATAATATCCTTGGAAACCAAAGACGACTAAAGAGTGGCGTGCAAGTTCTTCTCGCCCGCTCTAATCCTTTGATTTGGTAACTGGTTGTAAAATTAATTAAGATCTTCCTTTTTCAAATTTTGACGTTCATAAGTGATACCAATATGAAAAAATAAATTTTGAATTGTGTTACAAATGTGTTTAAGTTTAATTTTAATATGATCTATGCACATCATATTCTATTTATTTATTTACACTTCGTTGCTAAAAAAAAAAGAAACAATACATAAAAATTATAAGGGATGCAACGGGCGGCCTTATCGCTAATAAGCGATCTCTTCCAGGCAACCCTAGTTAAAGAGAAAAACTAAAAAAAAAAGAAACATGATGCGTGCGAGAAGTGCAGAACCAAATGCTATATAAAAATATATATATAGTACCTTAATCTAAAGTAATACAATAAAAAAAATATTAATAACAGACTAAAAACTTAAAAGCTAATCATACAAATATTAATATATATATATATATATAATTCTATTAAGTAAGTACTCAAAAGTAGATAGTAAATGGGAATATTTCGTTGAACCAACCTCACATCCAAAAGGCGTAGAATGTACTTGTATATTAGTTCCACGCTCTGGAGGTGGTTTGACCATGTCTAGCAGTTCTGATAGAGGCCGAAGTGTCTTTAGCCCTGAAAATAAAGTATTAAGAAATTATAACATTGTACCAATTATACTGCTGCTTGACACAGAATCGGCTACAGTTCGTAAAACCTTAGATAAATCCGCTACATCATTCACACCTTCCGTACATACCCTCACTTTTACACCATCAAACAACACAGCAAAAGTAAATATTACTTAGTTAACTATTGTATTAAGTATGGAATATTTTTAATAGTTTTTTCCCTTTTGCAAATGTTCGAACCTTTTTGTAAATATTATAGTATAACATATAAAGTATTCCATCTTTGGCTATATTTTAAGAGTAATTGTTTTATTTTATAAGTATAATTTTTTTAAATTTATTTTGGGTAATGAAAAAATAAATTAAACTGAAGGTGATAAAAGTGTTCACTATTGATACATAGAAAAAATATCTCCCTATTTCTCATTGAAATATATTTGTTATTTTTAATTAACAAAATATTCAGTAAACCTTTTCACTACTTTTGTTTTTACGTCAAAAACTGAAGTAGCTATATAATCTTTGCTTTATGTAGGACCTAAAAGTTACAAAAAAATGTCGTGCGACTGTAAAAAGGACGGAAAAACGCCACAAAGTCCAAAAGCAATACTAAAAGCACAAGCAACTAAAAACTACTATAGTTATTATGATACGCCGGATGGATGTGATATTCCTAAAAAGGTAGGGTGCCATGATAGCCAGTCTCGCTAATTTATTCCACCTTTGCATGCCTATTTTTATATGGCTTATGCAGTTTTTTTTACAATTAATCCATCTAAATTTCCATCTTCCTTTGCAAAAAAACATTAGAGATAAATTTTGTAAGTGAAGCAGAAATATTACGATGTGTTTTCAGAAACATATTTATTTCGGTTTTCTCTTCCCATTTTTGGAACATTATATTACAAATCCTGGCTGTGATTTTAGATCCTAGCAGCGTCCCGTTTGGGTGCAATAATCGGTGTACTAATTGCTACAAAAGACATTCTGCTCTACTCTCATGCGGTGACCGTTGGGCCCATTATAAAACGGTAAATATATATTTAGACCAAAATTAATATGTTTTATAGTTAGGAATGATTGTCCACTGCTGTGTTAGCCTAGCAATTTTATTTCTTTATGCGATGCCGCAATAGATCTTTCTTTTTTATATGTTTTTTTAATCGAATCACCTCGACGTCCGTAGTTCCACAACTGAGTGTTATTTGAGGCAGTTTTGCCGCGCACTACCACTATTTGGAAGCTACCCACTGAAGTATTTCCAAACCAATTTGTCTTAGGGTCCTTTAAGAAAAGAGCGTACCAATTCCTAAGAGGCACGCGAGCCCTCTGTCAATGAGAGTGACCATGGGCGGTGGTATCACTTAACATCAGGTGAGCAATCTGACCGTTTGCCCCTGTTCTAAAAAAAAATAATAAAATTACCAGTAGTCATTTCTACGATAGACAATTTATATGGTCCTTAAGTAATTTAACGCATATCAAACACAAAATTCATAACTTAAAGATTCTCTCTTAATCTGTTTTAATAAAAAAGCTATGATTATTTATGTTAAAATGTCAATGATCATAGGAGTCAGGTAACTTCCATAAAAGCCTATCTGTGACGCGCTGTTAAATTTATTTTTCTTGAATTTAAAGTGGCGCTACAATCAGTACTTTTACGAGACATTTGACGAGCTATAGTCTAGTATAGTATCTAAGAACACAATATATATAATACACAATATAAATTTTATAAAATTTAAATATATGTATATATATATATATAAGAAGTATAAATAATTATTATTTATACTCCATTGTTTGTTTAGAACAACTCAATTTTGCAGTGTAATTTTCTAATGAATATTTTCTCAATATTTTTGGCAGTTTCTGTGAAAAACTTCAATCACAGTTTGCCTGAAAACCTGACGTGCTGGTTAAAACTAAGCACAGATTCGTGATTAGCACACCTATTAAATTTGAAACACTTTTTCATGAATAAAAATTGTAGGCCTGTATTATTATTTATATGTCATGACAGCAACGTAAAGTTGGGCCCATTTATTGTTGTGTTAGATACATTAATCAATTAATGATCTTGTTTTTGAGTGAAATTCAAAATAAATATGAGTTGTTATGATCTATTTGCGTACAAAATATTGCGATGTTTTGTGGTTTTTACTAAGGTTTTTATACATAGACAATTTCATAGAAACACTTTGTATTCATAGGCTATCAGTGTTATTTTGATACAATTAGTATTTTTATAGATATATCTACCACACTGGCCCGCTGATGGCAATGGGCGCGACGTTCGCTGCTGTGTCTAACGGCATGCTTCAGTATAGGCAAGAGGATGACCACTTAAACTACTTTGCAGGTAATCTGATCCAGTAAAACTTCGAAAGGCGAATTTATTACATTATTAAAGTCAAAATTCATTTAATCATATATGTAACACAATGTACACTTATGAACGTCAAAAAAGAAATGTATATGAAATGCTTCTAACTTTACATTTAGTGCTAGTTCTCAAATCAAGAGCGTAGAATGGAAGAAAAGAATTGGCAATAAACTCTACGCCACTCTTTTTTAACGCCTTTTTTTTACACAACGTTTGTAAGGAGCTGCAACCATTACACCATGTTCCACATGACACCTTAAGTAATTAATCATAATAAAATAAATTAAAAACAAAGTCTTGTCCTCCACCAAGAGGCACGGTGAAATAGGAGCACACACATTCTCGTTTGAACAACACGCAAACACATAGTCGAAATAACTAACATCACCGCATACACGAATTCAAGTACGACCAGTCACCACAAGTTGCACCCGTTCACGAGTATGACGCATGGCCAGCCATCGGCCCAACTCGCCCATTAATATTGCGCCTACAAATTACTACGATGACGACATATTCTCAAACTAATAAAGTTATTCCCACCGCTAAGGATGTATACAACTTCTCAATATAAGCCACCTGTGTCTTTCGGGTTAGTGATTAAAATGGTCGAGGGTCCGCTTAAGTCGGAGGAAGAGCAGCATCTCCCTTCCTTCAAACAAGTTCTATTTAGACATACTTTATTGTTAAAAGAATTTAAAAAATTGTATCAAATTTTCATACAAAGAAATACTTGAAGTATGAAATTTTCACAACTTAAAGCGGGAACTATTTAGGGCAGAAATAGATACAGAACAAAAATTTTCAGGTGGTTTCGCTTGCGGGCCCATACTCGCAGCCTACTTAAGGAACTACCACGCGATTCTTCTAGGCGGGCTTATTCTCGGGACCTTGGGGGCCATAAAGAAGGAAGCCTTAATTCAGAAAGTACCCCTGTTCCCTAGCCCTCCAGGGCATATGCGCACGGTTGGTGATTGGAGGAACAATTACAATATCCTGTATAAGGATCCTTTGGAAGGTAAATCAGAGATGTCAAAACACTCTCAAAGACATCGTAGAAGTGGATGCTTCTGGGTTCGAAGGCCCGAAAAACAAAGGAAACCTTTTCTATGTTCAACGCGAGTAAACTAATATACCTAATATTAGTTTTCTAGACTAGAGGTGCCAAATTTTTTTTTTCGTGTGTGTACCTACTTGCGATTGCTTATTTGGCGTCTATACTCTACATAGATAGTCTACATATAGCTTTAATTATGACATAGAGTATTAATTGTAAAAAAATAGCCTATACATAACGTACATATACATACATCACATGTTTTATTATTGTATTTATTATTAGTACACGACTTCTGGCGGAGTGAATGCCTTCTACAAATTCTTCCAAAAACAAATTCTTAAAAAGATAGGAGACAATTTTTTTCTATTCAAGTTTTTCTTATTATGTATTTATTCATAAAAATTCTAATTGCGTGTGCAATAGTCTTGATTATTTTTTTTAATTTACAGAGATGAAGAAAACGTGCAATGTTCACGACAAAGAGAAGAAATAAGTTTTCTTTGTTGGTGCAACGAAATATATTTATTTTAATATTTTCGCTTTTATTTCCGACTCGATGGTTTACTGAATTTTATGAGGTTTCAATACCGTGCATGTCAATTTATTTAAAAATCTGTCACGTATTTATAAAAATATTTTTACTTAGTATTTTTTTGTAATTGTTGTTAAAACTGATGGTCTAATTACTCTTCTATACTACAAAGGCGCCATTGCCTTTTAAAATGTAATCACCTTCCCTTGAAAGCATTACACAGCAGTGATCAATAGCTTAGAAAGAGAATTGAATAGTTTGATAGCATATTTTTTTTAAATACATCGTGGTACAAAATGCTGAGACCCACAGCCGTGTTGGATCCTTAACTATCCGAACGTGTTGAAAAAATAATAATATGCACAATGCACATACATATTACACTTCTTTTATAAGAACAAACAAAAGATAGTTTTTTTATGCATTTTCTGGGGTTAGACCATCTTCGTCTTGACATTGACAGAAGCCATCCTGTATTACGTTTTTACTGTCGGGTTCATAATCTGGATATAATGGCGAGACTTCTGTTACCAAGTAAAAACCTGAGGCGGAAGTCTAAACTTTTGGATGTACCGCGAGCACGTTCCAATTTGGTTAGCGAAACGCCACTCACGCGAGCAATATACAAATTAAACGGAATTTCTATCGAGGTGGACCTATTTGTTTGTACACTGGAGTTCACAAGAGTTAGCTAATATATACAATTCTCGTGTCTCAATGTTCGTTCCCATACTCCTCCGAAACGGCTCAACCGATTCTTATGAATTTTTTATGCATATTCAGTGAGTCTGGGAATCGGCTACTATATATCTTTCAAACCCCTAAGTGATAAGGGGTGTCCACCCCAAAATTTATATTTTTATTTTTAGACAATTTTTTTTGTTTTTATTTTTTTATAATACAAAAATACATACAACCTTTAATTTTCATCTACCCTCTACGATCAACCCCTATTTTTATAGTTAAGAACTTATAAATTGAACTCTGAGCTTTATATAGAGAAAAATCACAGAAAACCCTAAAAGAATTCGAAAAACTGCACAGTCTCTGGGATAGCTTATAAAAATGTTCCATGTTGTTATGTACTAAAAAGGTAGGCTAGGCATTAAGGAGAAACGAAGTTCTCGGGGGCAGCTAGTTAGTTAGTTTATAAGATTTAGGTATTTAAATATATTTTTTAAATGTTTTTATGTAGGATAATCGGTGTGGGTATTACTGTCGTTCTATCGCATTAGTAGTAACTGTTAACATATTATAATAATGATGTGTAATAAATATATTAAGATACCTGCGACATCACTCTCCAAATCGATAAGAACGAAGACTGAGAGCAGAGCTTTGCCCAACTGAGTCTGTTTTTCAACATCTCCGTCCCGATGTCCAATCGTCCAGCTGTAAAGGATGTCATCAACACATCTGTCCAACACTGGACACTGCCATACATGACATATTCTGAAATTTTTGATCCTAATATTAGAGTCCCACTTTTGCGACGTTAGTGACCGACAAAATATTTCATTGGTAAATGATTTTAAATAGTTATTAGTCAGCGTTCTTATCTTTCGGTTTAGTTATGAATATTGTTTATATTTAAGTATATATAATATAAGTCCAAAATGAGACCTTACGAGTTTAGACGCAGAGAGCATATTATGTATTGACGCACCTCAAAGAAGGTAGACTTTGAGAATAGGAAAAGATTAACAATCCAGTGTTATTGTTATAACTAAAGTATTTATTTGTATCTTTATATCACAGCGTAAACACAGTATTATTCATTCTTAAGGTTGAAAATCAGCAGGATTTTCTAAATTTCGACAGCAAAAACTAACATTATCTCATTCGAATTCTTCGCGAATATAACAGAATAAATACTACTTATCCAGAGACTGATATATTCCGGTAGTGGGCTATTAAATTTAAAAAAAAACATTGTTAAGTGCCTATCTGATACCTAATCTGCTATTTTGTTAGTAATGTTTTGCTTATTGTTATGTAGAATCTAAAATTGAAAGTGTCATATTTGTATTATTTATTTTTTTATACTTAGTTGCATACATAAATAAAATACAATCGACATAATTAAATGAAAAGGAGGGCGGTCTTATCGCTTTGGAGCGATCTCTTCCAGGCAACCACAAAAAAATTGTATAATAATGTGTTTTAAAAAAGATAGCTTGTATACACTGTACATATAGCATTATATGTATATGATGTGGTGAACTTTAATAAGTAAATACAATGCGTCTGTAAGACACATAGCCTTACCTTCCAGTCATGACCCTGGCTTGATAGCTTGTATGCTCAAAGTCCGAATCATCACAATTCCGTTCTCTGCTCAGTTTCTCCACTCCCTCATACACATTTGGCATCTTGCTATCCTTTTCACACGTTACATACATTTCTGGTAACTGGTTGTAGAAGTCGTCACTTAAAATAGGCTTTCCGCGAGCATCTTTAATGATCTTCGCCTGTTTTAGTGGTGATAATATGGAGCCGTGTGTGAGAACCCAGCGATTGGAGTATTTGATCCCTGAGGCGGCTACGGTCAGGATATTTGCAAGTTCGCCATCGTCAGAGTAATTGTATGTCACCATTACACCTTCAACCCCCATTTTGATCTGTAATTATTTATTTTTACAACTTAGTTATATAAAAATACTACCCCCGCGAACTTCATCTAACTTTTTAGTACATACCCACTTTTCCGGTTTTCCGGAATGAAAACTTTTTTAGATTTTTCTGTGATTTTTCTCTTTATAAACCTCAGAGTTCAAGTTGTAAGTTCTTAAATAAAAAATAGGGGTTGCTCGTAGATGAAAATTAAGGGTTCTATGTATTTTTGTATGCTGTATGATAAAAAAATAAAAACCAAAAATTTTGTCGAAAAAATAGATAGTAGCCGATTTTCAGACTTACTGAATATGCATAAAAAAATTCATAAAAATCGGTCGAGCCGTTTCTGAGGAGTATGGTAACTAACAACTTGTGACACGAGAATTTTATATATAAGATTCTCTATAATACATCTTTTAAAACGCAAGAAACCTTACAACCAAATTTATACTGGCGATTCGGTCAGTTTCCATTTTAATAAAATCAGTCTCAATTATTTAAAATACCACAGCAGAATCAGACAAATTACAAAAGGCATAGATGTCATATTAATAATAACAAGAACAGTTAAGAAATGTAGAATTGTTATAAAAACTTATAATCCAATAATTCCCACGTTATCACCTCGCCTTTAAACACATATTGATAATTCTGGATAGGATACAATCCATGTTTATACTAGAAAATATTTTTCTAACTAAAGCTAAATAAATCGTAAATTTAATCACTTTTAAATTGAGATGAGAGCGTATTTATAGACTATAATTTAAGATTAGCTCTGGTGTCTACTATAAACATTTCTATTTTAAGATCTAGAGATTATAAAGTTATAAATAATTTTCCCCGTTCTGCGAGCTAAGTTCGTTCATTTAAAATGCGACCAGCCAGCGTTAACACTCAACTTCAATAGCGATTTCACTTTTGACTATTAGTCTAGTCGACAAGTTGAAAATGGTACAAAATAGAGATATTGCTCTTAAAATTATGTGCGATAGCTCATTGGATCCGGAATGACGTCTAGAAAAATGTGCCAAAAGCGTGTATTAGCACATAAAAAATTGCAAAAGTTATAAACAATTAAAGATGAAAAAAACATGGCATTTCGTTTTTTGCCAATATTTAATAAGCTATTAATATTTAAGAAATTTCAAAAAAAGATTCTAATGTTTTTATTGATTGTGCTGAAAAATTGTGAATTCTGGCTCGCGCTGGTACAATTTCATGTTATAGGCAATCAGAAGCACCCCCGTTACCCACTAAGGCAAGGTTATTTATCATAATAATTATCGTAGCCAACAACAAATTTGTATACCAGAAAATAACAAGAAAAAATATACAAATAGCGTGAATGTGAACGTTATTACAAATTATGCTATAACCACACCCTCGGGTCGGGATGTAATGAGGCTTATTCAGCGGGTGGTCAATGAGAGGGTAATTTGTTCTAGTATAAAAGATAGGATGATACAAATTCACCAACGTTTGCTTTGCGTCGCCTGCCGACGCACTTCTTTGCAGTTCTCATATCACCGTGAAGGTAAGTTTTTATTTATACGAAAAATACGAGAGAATATGCTAAACTTAACCTGGAGTGGGTTTAAAATTATTGTGATTATTATTAAACAAATCATAATGTTAGTTTTATATTAGGAAAGTTTATAAGATTCTTACAAAATTACACACGCGGCTCAGTAGACAGCAATTAGAATAATGCGTTTAACCTGACGGTTCGGTTCCAGGAATTATAATCGTTTTCCATGCTATGGAACGGAATGCACACACCTTGTGTAATGACTCATCAGATTATTATTATTAGTAGAATAAAATAAACTAGAAGCAAGTTACTAATAACACAAATCTATTATACTACGTAAGCGCACGTCAAGTTAATATGTGTACAACCATTATATTCTTTTTTTCTGGTTTCCTATATTTATTACCTCAATTCACATAATTAAGTAGGGTGAGTTAATTAATTAAAAGTGTTTTTTTATTTAAAGAAAGGAGTTTAATATTATTTTTTTTTTTTTTTTAAGGAATATTAAATTAATATTATTAATTTATAAAATTCGTCGATAAAGTTAAATGCTGCAGCTGCTGATCCTACATTTCCTACATTTAACTTTAATTTTTATTATTTTTATTTGAACATTAATAATTTTAAAATTTTGAAAATCTTAAAAAATAAAAATATTTTTTAATGTTTTTTTATATTATATCTTTGACTTAAAACCCTTGATCCCACTAAGTTCAAGGTTGATTCGTTCAGAGATATCTGACAAAGAAACCCAAAAAGTGTTTATTCGGGATTACTCCGAAATTTTGGTTGATTATTAAAATTCCAATGCCCCAACCCTAAAATTCTTGATCCATTAAAAGTTATTGCGGTTTGAAAATTCCAAAAATATTTCTATGAAACTTCTATCAGACTTTACCTGAGAGCTCAAATTAAAATGTTATTTCTTTAATCACAGCTAAAATATAATTTTAACAAATGGAATTAGCGGAAGTTCAGGATGGCCTTAGGTGAACGTTTTTTAAATTTTTTTGTCAGATCACAATCTCTAATAATCTCAGATTATAGACAGTACTTTAGAACATAAAATGAACATATATCTTAATCTACCTTAGTATTTCAAAATTTGATTTTTTTCAAATTATAAAATGGCTTGGGTTTCTCATCAATTCATTATAATGAGATTTTTTGTCACTAACACTCCTTAAAAATCTACTCTATTTTTTTTTTTTTCATTTTCAACCCTTATAACCACCCTTAATATTAACATACTATATTATTAAAAATACTAGGGCATAGATGCTATCAATATCTACCCTAGATGTCCATAATTTTTTTTATTTACTATCTATACCTTCCCCCATAAGGAATTTATCATATAACATTTTTTCTTCTTATTATCTAACTTTGCTCCATAGGTCTTTAGTAAATCCCCATTTAGCATCGTGGGCTCCCTACCATAATAAGTGAATGGAAATTTTGCGACACTCTTTCAAGTTTCCGTAGTGTAGCGGTTATCACGTGTGCTTCACACGCACAAGGTCCCCGGTTCGATCCCGGGCGGAAACAGTGAATTCTTTTATTTTTAATAGTTTTTTTTAATTTAGTGATAAAATTAATAAATCCAGAAAGTTCATAAAACAAAAAAAAATCTTAATTACTACTAAATAAGCTTTCCGACTAAATCTATTTATTGTAAAAGTAAAAGGCGATTTTGTGCTGCTAAGTTTTCATTTTATTACGAGGGTTTTTTATAATTTTGTTAACAAACATAACGGCGTGATTGAAAAATTTAAAATTAAAAAGTTCCTTCGAGCCGGATTTGAACCAGCGACCTATGGATGACTTCGAATAACGCTACAGTCCACCGCTCTACCAACTGAGCTATCGAAGGTTGAGAATAAGCGTCGAAATTAATAATGAGTTTAATGTGTTGTTTAAAGTTTTATTTGACTCTACATTTTGTAGCGCTGTAATTCAAAATAAAATTCTAATTAAATTAATTTATTCTGTGCTTATAACCGGTTGGGTACCAAACTGGACACAGTCTTAATACTATATTTTCGAATATCTGTACGTATATAATACCGATTTTTAAGATAAAAATGTTAGTAATACGACACGCTTCCCGACACATCTGACATTAGACAGCTGATATTTCTTATCTAAGCTGAAAGTATCGAGGTGACCTACAAGTATAACTAGTTTTACAATGATTAGTTGATAGTCTTTATGTAAAATGCACTAAATCTTACCACATTAATAACGCGAAATAATGGGCTATAGACAAATTACGTTTCAAGAAAAAAAACTACTAGAATTACGAAAGATGTACATAATTCGAAATGCGAATATTGTTTCGTGATGACATAAATTATTTAATTATATTTATTAAAAACTAGCTGCCCCCGCGAACTTCGTTTTGCCTTAAAATGATTTTATTTTTCCCAATAAATCTTCCTCAGAGATCAAGAAATATTTTTTTTTAAAAATACTAATTGATAGCCGTCTTCGAATTTTGCGCTTGGCAACATATTTTGCGATCAGTCTTCGTTTATTCAGATTACGAAGAAATTTCAAGCCCTGGTATAGATAGATACCTACATGTACACAATTATATGCAAATTTTGCATTGCACCAAAGGCCAAAGGGTTTGTGTCTAGAGGGGTCTAGCGATTCAAATTTTGTTACCGAGATAAGAATATAATTATGATACCCTATGGTAACAGTTGTTCTTATGACAGTAGCAATTTTCTCAAAATAGACAATACGGAAATAAGCGATCGGATATACTTCCTAACTGTGGAATAATTAGTACAAGTTCCTACTTAGCGTAAATACCCTTATAATAGCTATGTCGTAGCCAACTAGCTTAATTAGCCGTTCAATTAACAGCCTAGTCTGTTTACTAAAGAGCGCAGTTTAACTAGCGGCCAGATTTATGTTCAGCCATCTGATCAAACAGCTATGACTTGGATCGATGACTTGCCTATTTCAATTTAGTTACACTTTCTGCCATTCTGTCAATATAGCGTCGGAAAACATCAAATTTGAAGATATAAAATTTATGAAAAATAGTATGGAAGATTGTAGTGACACTAAGAGTTAGTGTATGATCACTAATATATAACAATTTTAAAATATCAAATAAAGAATTTCTTAAGTCAGATAGAAGTAGAAGTAGATCTTTCACATGGTTGTACGGCCAGTTTATTAAATATTGTAACAAACGCTACGGCTTATAATCTTCCAGGCCGCTAGTTGAACGGCGCTGTTTTGTAAAGAGACTAGGCTGTTGACTAAACATCTAATTAAGCTAGCTGGCTGCGACAGCGATAATCTACTGTTACAGTAACTCTTAGCCTTAGTTCTATTAAAGTACCTCGAATTTCCTACAAAAGGTTCCATACATCCGATTCTAATTCCTTGGCCATTATGGTATTTATGTTTGGTTAGAGTCAGTAAATTGTAGTTTTATTGAGG